AGAATCGTGTCACCAGCAGTGCAGAGCTTGCTCAGGAATGGCAGCAGGTTGGTGTGAGAGCATCTGCACGCACAGTGAGGCCAAGACTTTGACAACGACCTGGTGTCAAGAAGGGCAGCATAGAAGCCACTTCACTCCAAGAAAAATCTCAAGGACAGACTGAAATTCTGCAGGAAGACTAATGTTTGGGTTAAATGAGTCCTCCCACAAGAGGATTAAGGATCTCTCAACACACTTATCAACAACAAGTTAACCACAAACACGAGAAGTCAGCAGAAGGGACTCTTGCTCCAAGCCTCCACAATCCAGACATCTCAGCTCTGCCTTTTAACTCCAAACATTTCCTCTAGTGGGCCAATCAGGATAGTGCAGTCATCAGCAGGATCATCAACTAATTGAACTCCACCTGTTAGTCCTTAACAGCATTTGAGAGAGAGAGAAAAGCAAAACAAAACAAACAGAGCACAAGCACAAAATAGACACTCCCACTTATATAGGTCCTGGGACGTAACAGGTTGCTTTTCAACCAAGGGACCATGAGCAATTTGGTGATGATCCGTGCATTTTCCAACATGATGGAGCACCATGTCACAAAGCAAGAGTGATAAAGAAGTGGCTCGAAGATCATTACATTGAAATTTTGGATCTGTGGCCAGGCAACTCCCCGGATCTCAATCCCATCGAGAACCTGTGGTCAGTCCTCAAAAGGCGAGTGGACAAGCAGAAGCACACAAATTGTGATCAACCCCGAGAACTAATAAGGCAAGAATGGATCGCCATCAGTCAGGATTCGGCCCAGAAGCTAATATCCAGCATGCCAGAGCGAATTGCAGAGGTTATGAAGAACAAGGGTCAACACTGTAAATATTGACTCATTATATATTTTTTGCCAATAAAAGCCTTTAAAACTTATGATATGCTTATCATTGTTTTTCAGTATACCATAGAAACATATGGAAAAATAATCTACAAATACTGAAGCAGCAAACTTTCCAAAACACAAAATTGATGTCACTGCCAACACATTTGGCCATGACTGTAGTAACTAAAAAAAAACTGTAGGGAGTACTTGATCATTTACTTTAGATTTACTCTTGACCTAGTGTAGCTACTCAGAATTACTAACTCCCAGAGTGCATTGCGGCATGAATAAATTATGCGATTGCTTTGTTTTACTGTTGCTTTTTTTTATTTGTCCATTTTATTTGCTGTCTTGTGTCAGTAGTAGCACAACAATAAGAGCAAATAACATGGTTATTGTTACAATTAATCAAATTTAATTGTTACCATTGTTGTGTTTGGTGTGCTGAATGTTGAAGTCTGTGTGTGACTCTGTGTGGACTGTGAGAGCAAGGTTGATTGCAAGATATTGCCACAAATGTTAAAACGTTATAACATCCCAAATAAAAGCTTCACAAGATGTTTATGAAAAACAACAAAATTGTATAGATCATAAATCAACATGAAAAAAACACTAGCTAAGAACTTCTTTATTAGTTACATCATTTTCTAAAAATAATCAATTTACAATTTCTCTTTCTTTGAAATCAAATAACTATGATTTGAAGATGCATTATTGCATTAGTAGGAAGATAATTATAATAATATAAACAAAGTTTTCATTGCACAACCAAAGGGAGCACTAATCACTATAAGGGTGAGTTTAAACAAAAACTTTTTTTTAGGAAAATCAACATCAATTTATGAAGTTAGCTTATGTGGTTCTCTCAAATTTTTCAGTTGTATTGACAATTCAACATTTGAGATGACTTTGGGAAACAAGTGAATGCAACTAGTGAAAGATAACTGCAGAAGTGAAGGAAATTAGTGAAAAGTCTATTAAAAATTGCCCCGCCTCAAAAACTTTTTTCTTCTTCTTCTTCTTCTTTTGTTTTGTTGCACATAAGCAACATATTAGTGCACTGCTGCTTCTCACTGGTGTATTAATGTCATTGGTTCCTTTGTGGCTACTTGAATATTTGAAGTAAGCGTCACTCAAAGCAGTAAGTAAATTGTTTTATTTGCTTTGAAATTAAATAACTTAATAAAACCTAGTAAGTATAACAACTAAGTAAAGATAACTAATTATATCTAAGTAAGGTAAACTATTGGATTTTACAGTGTAGCGATTAAGATGTGCATTTGTGGATCAGGCGGCACGCGTGCATTCATTGACATCTCTTCTGAGTCGATTCTATTTGATTCATTTGAATTTTGAAAACACAGAATAAATTTTGCCAAACAAATGCATGATAAACACTTTCAGGGACCCCAGAGCAGAGCTATTTTACGTCAGCGTTTCATTCATTTGAGCTGCTTTATATTGTCGTAAGATCTGTGGATAAGCTGAAACCCCGAATATTTACACAAATTATAATAATTCATTGTATTTCAGTTCAACATCGGACAACAGTGGCAGATTTAGGCATGGACAACACAGACAGCCGGCATGCTTCTTTGCAGCTGATACTCACTCAGAAAATACTAGTGTAGGCTATTAATAACTAATTAAGATATCTCCTTGCTATTTCTTTGCTTATATGCTATATAGCCTAATAAAAGCTCATTGGTTTAGTACAGTATATGTTTAAGTAATTAAATTAATATGAATGTGCGATTACTAATGGCTTAAATGAGCGACTACTAGTCGACTAGAAAAATCTTTAGCAGGGGCTCTAAAATAAAATAAAATAATAATAAGGAATAACTGACAACGTGCCGTTAAATTACAGGAAAAAAATCCAAGGTACCGTCACAAAGTGCTTGTTTGTCAAACTTCATATATTGTCTTAAGACAAGTTAAGTTAGAATAAGTTAAATAAAACAGTTATTGAAAAAAAAAAAAAACGACGCAAACCATTCATAAAGCCACACACAATGGAATGTGCACATGTCTCTAGTGCCATCTAGTGGTCGCTGATTTTCTGTGGCTAAACTGCGTGTGGATCGCGAGCTGTTTGTGTGTGGATTGCGCAAGGCTGAAAGGGCGGAACGAAAGTCTCAAAATTCAAATGAATCAAATAGAATCGACTCAGAAAGATGTCAATGAATGCACGCGTGCCACCTGATCCACAAATGCACACCTTAATCACTGCATGCAAAAATCATGATACTTTAATACAAAATATAACATTTGTATTCACAAACGTCTCTATTAGAACAAAATGCTGCACATTCGTGCAATTCTGAATTTCACAGACACAAGTTGAAAGGCATTTGGTTGTGGATAGTAAGATACATCTGTGAATTTTTCTAATCGATGGGTAGATGTGCACACATTAATGAATAGCGCTGGGTCTTATTAATTGGGAGTTGTTTGTGTGTGGGTTGAGAAATGCTGAAAAATGCGAAAATAACGTCTCAAAATACAAATGAATCAAATAGAATCGACTCAGAAAAGATGTCAATGAATGCACGCATGCCACTCGATCCACAAATGCACATCTTCCTTGTTGTATGCGCAAATTCTGATACACTAATGCAAAAGAAATCAAGAAGAAGTTGTAGTATTTCCTCAGCGACCAGCACGGATCAGCTCTAGGCATGATGAAGCATCATCCTCTTTTGGAAGACCAAACAAAGTAGTTTTGCTTTCACAACGAATCACACAGCGCCTTCACGACATGGCGGCGGCGGCAACAATACTACAGCGAGAATAAAAGTTACGCCTTCTTTCTTTGCGTGAGCATTTGGGCGGCGTTATGCAAATCTTCCCAGATAGTGACGTAGACATGTGGGGGCGTGTTAGAACGAGGCGTTTTAGGTAGGCGTGGTTGACTCTTAACTTTTATAAAGAATATCTCTTTGGATTTGAGACTTTAGTCTTTGCAACTTTACAGATCTTCTTTATGCACCAAGAGCTTGTAACACACCAAAGAGAAAGGAAAACTTGAAATCGCATCATATGACCCCTTTAAGATTATAATAAAAATGCATGCATTATTTGAAGTGATTGTATTTCTGAATTGCATACTTGCACTAAAGTGTGTTTTAGTTGCAATGCAACTGCAAATAAGTAGAACCGATGTATATATATGCAAATACATTGTAATACAAATGTCAACATTTCAAGTTCACATTTCAAGCATTTTAGGTGCAGTTCAACTGAATTTGCAATGGTAGTCCACTCCAAACAGAATTTAGGCTTATTACAAGTGACACTACTTTCAGTTACTTCAGTAAAACTTATTGGGGATACAGGCTGATACATCTGTGGGTGTGGCCCATAATGACTAATTGGCCTATATCGTGTGAAAGCAGATCTTGGTACACACGGACATTCTGGGGAAGCATGCCAAATTTCATTAATTTCTGTCTATAGGAATGATGATAGCTGTAATACTAATGTTGTCCAGAGGGAGTCACAGTAGGTCTCATAAATTAAAATCTGCATACATCAGGGGTGTCAAACTCTTCTCCTGGAGGGCCACAGCCCTGTACACAAAATCTGTTGCTCCATCACAAAATATGCTCTCCAACCACAGTCTACAGACTTTAGCTACAAGTCTAATCAAACTGGTGTACATTGTTCAATTGATTGACTTCAATACAATCAGTGTGTAAAGAAATATGTGATCTCCAAAAGAATTATAGATCATTAAATGTATAATATTAAAACATATTTAATTTCTCGTATGTTTTATTAACTGTCCAGTCTCTTTTAACCTAACACATAGAATAGTACTTCTATAAAGGGACATGTTTAGACTCATATTTGACAAGAGTGTCACTAGATCGTCTTGGACCCCAATAATCTGCTTGCGGCTATATTTCACTTTACACTAGTTAATATAGATACCAATTGTTCATTGTTAAATTCATGTTTGTTCGTAATGCAATAATGCTCATTTATACAACTTGAAATGTTTATGTTAAAAATGTAGGCTATTTTCTAGTAACTTATATAGGCTATTTGCAAATAGGTTTCATTAACTCAAAAAAAGATATAGGAATTGCAAGTCAATGGTGTTTGGGCTAAGCCACAGAGTGCCGCCTGCAGGAACGTAATATCTTCGCAGCACAATGCTGCATTAGCCGCGATGCACTGATTTCAGTTCAGCTGGCCGTGAAAACGACAGGTGCAGGTGCTTTGTGCTGTTCTTCTACAATGCGCAAAACGCTGATTTTTTTGTATAGTAAACTAATACTTTTAATCTCGAATGTGATGTGAGAAGAAGCGTGCCATTGTTTCCATCGTGGGAAATGAGCGTTTACAGCAGCGCCATCATGTTTCCTTCGGCGCATCATATCCAGCGAGCGCTCATCTGTTCTGTTCTTCTCTGGATGTCGACGGCGGTCATGACTCGATCCTCCTCAACATCGGATCTTAAATCCAAAATATCTGGTGTGGAAGAACTGCTGGAGGAGTTCCGTAAGCAGCTACAGCAGGATGAGTCGGGCTCGAGGGAGGATGAGGAGGATGGAGACCGCTGTATCAGTGGCTTCAAGGCGGCGGAGGAGCGCATCATCCGCGCCAGCGCGTCCATCGAGCAGGGCGCCGCGTTCTTGTCCGCCCCGCAGAGGGTGTTCAGCTGGAGGGACTGCGCGCACGCCTGCTGCTCTCACCCGCACTGCACAGCCGCCATCATCCAGGAGGACCTCAAGCAGCCCGATGACAGTTTGCGCTGTTATTTGTTCAACTGCACGTACAGGGGCAGGAGTGTGTGCTCGTTTTCCTTTCAGCCGGGATTCAGCACCTACAGTCGGGTGAACAACAGCTCTAGACCCCATGAGCCCGGACGGGGTTCTACTGCCACTGACAGTCCGAGCACTTCAGCCGGGAGACCTTCATATGGGATTGATGAGGACGAGTCAGTAATGCGGGGTGGGTTTCTTCGATTGTAGTAACGTTAGTCACGGGCCGCGCGTACTGATCAAAAGGGACAGTAAGTAGAAATTACATGGTTAAATTCTATTTCAAATAAGTGCTGTCCTTTTGAACTTTCTATTCATTAAATAATCCTGAAAAAAAAAAAGATCTCAGTTCCCACAAAAATGAAACAATTGTTTTAACATTGACAATAATAGGTAATGTTTCTTGAGCTCTAAATCAGCAAATTAGAATGATTTTTGAAGGATTATGTAACACTGAAGACTGGAGTATTGATGCTGAAAATTCAACTTTGCCATCAAATGAATAAATGGGCATAAATAGGAATAAAGGGATAGTTCACCCAGAAAATAAATATTTGTAATTTGTCATCATTTACTCACCCTAATGATGTTCCAAACCTGTATTCATTTCTTTCTTCTGCTAAACAGAATAGAAGATATTTCGAAGAATGTTGGAAACCAAATTGCTGGTAGCCATTGACTTCCATAGTATTTTTTTTCATGCTATGGAAGTAAATGGCTACCAGCAACTGTTTGGTTACCAACATTCTTCGAAATATATTCTTTTGTGTTCAACAGAAGAATGAAACTCATACAGGAACAACTTGAGGGTGAGTAAATAATGACAGAACTTTAATTTTGGGGTGAACTATCCCTTTTAACTTATTCTGGAGCAAGAGAATCTCTATGAGAAGAAACCCTCTCCTCCTGTGTGCAAGAGTTCAGCCAATTGTAAATAAAACTTTAGATTTAAAGTTTGTGTTGTCCACAAAAAAATGTTGAACTTGACTTTTTGTGTGTTTGGGTTTCACAGGTTTGGATGAGCCACCCCGTAGTGATGCGGGTCAGGACTTGGTGGTTCAGCTGCCAACAGACTGGGCGGTGCTAGATGGCAGAGACAGCACTGATGATCATGACATCATACATTATGAATGGGCTCTTGTGAAAGGAGACCCCTCCGTTAAGATGAAGGTAAACCTTTAATATTCAGTAATCTCTCAAAGACTTTATGATGCTTTCAAAACATTGCTTTGTTTGCACATCCTGAACAGCTGGACAAAGCAACATTGGCTCAACCAGTGGAAGACCTGGAGTGTTTGAACAAACTCTTTGAATTCAATGAGGATTGCTGTACTGTTGGTTTTTGTAATATTTAGTGTTTAAGACATTTTCAGTGAATGCACTCTCAATTGTAGTGACGACATATTGCATCTCTGCTCATTTTGATCTCAGCTCAACTTGTTTGTGTCGCCTGAAAACCGGCAAACCTGACTTTCAGTCACTTTATTACTGCAAATTGCTTTCTTTTTGATTGCCTTTTAAGCAATCACAGCATCATGTGGCAAAACTTGAACACTTTCATTAAAATAAACACAGCTGTTTTTTGCGAGCATTTGTGCTGACCTGACAGCCATTGCAAGCTATCCAATTAGGCTGTTACATTTATTCATTCTATGTTTGTGTCAGTTACATCATGATGCACTTCTGGAGAGACTGCCAAATATAGGCCTGAGTAACATCATGACCAAAATATTCATACCGTATGTAGCATTCTAATGAAAAATATCTGTCTTTGTGAGATACTGTAGTCAAATTTAGGCAAGGTAGAGGAGAAACTCATGTTACTGTCCACATAAAATGATGGCAGGAAAATGATTTCAGAAATTGTCGACAGTAATTGAGCTATAATTATTTTGCATTTGAGAATTTTTTGTATATTCCAGTAGCTTTGTGTGGACCAGCTGTAATTATTTACAGCAATTATAGAGACTCAGGTACTAAGTAATATGTGAAGTTCACTGGTCTTGATTATGTTGTCTGATTTCTGCAGGTGACACACCCAGGCCTGCTGAAACTCAGTGGTCTTAGAGAAGGAATTTATACCTTTGAGCTGACCGTTACCGACACGTCGGGACAGAAGAGCTCTGACAATGTGTCTGTCAGTGTGCTCGCCCCTGCACCAAATGCAGAAGGTCAGAAATTATTTGTCTATATCTTCCTTGACTATTTTTAAAAGTTACTTGTGAACATGGATGATTAGTTTTTTAAATTTTGCATGAGTGTGTGTGTGTGTGTGTGTGTGTGTGTGTGTGTGTGTGTGTGTGTG